GTAATATATATATATATATATATATATATATATATATATAGTTTTGACATATATATATACATATATACATATGTGCAATAAACATTTATAAAAATATAGAAATGTTAAATCTGAAAAAAATGAAAGCCAAAATTTAAAGGCTTATTATTTAAAAAAAATTCTGAATATCTATATTTCAATTTTTTTATATGAAATGTCAATTTTTTTTCAGTATATTACATGCAGGAAAAAAATAAATTTATAGATTGACTACAGTGTATTACAATAACTAATGTGGCATTCACAAAATATCGGATGTGTAATATTTTCAATCATCAAAGTAATACTGACGATTCAGTCGAGCTTTCATTTCATTTTCCTAACGAATTTGTTATCGATCAATCATATCTCGTCAGTCGATTGCAAGTTTAGTTTAAATTTTCCAAATGGACCCATCAATTTCGCAATGGTGTTTGCGTATGTTCGTGATGACCCCAAATGTGCTATGTACATACATGTAGACGTGATAGTAAATATATAATACAACGCTGCGTTTGTTCAATGCATAGCGCTATTGGTATTGTATAATAATAGTGAGTGTACGATAATGTAGTATAAGCCTCAGGGACATGTATATACGCTAAGCTGTAAGTTACATTAGTTTTTGCATTTGTGGTCACTCTTCCCTCCCGTGTAAATATAATGTGTAATTTATCGTGTACTTGGGCAATAAATGTTAGACAATCGTGATAATTCTTTGTGCGAATTGTTGCGTTTGTGTTGTGTAGGTCACTCCATTTATTTCACCAAAGTTTCTAATTTATGATGGAAAAAAGTTTGTTAAATTATAGACTGAATGGAAGAAAGACTGTATTTCAATAAAAATATATTATGCAGGCCGTTCCTGTTCACTACTGTTTTATTTTTATTACAATATATCTGATTAATTTTAAGTGTGTAATTTTAAACAGTTATTTTACAAAATTGTATTTAATATTCTATTGCTTTATTCTTGATGTTATTTATTATTAAATTATTAAATTGCTTTATCCGTTCAAAATTAAAATTTAGATAAATTAAATAAAAGTTGAAGCTTTGCCTAATGTTATTGTTAAAATTCATTTATAGAAGAATGTTATTTTATTATTTTTTTATGTTAACTGAAGAATTAACAATAACAAATAAAATGAAGATATAATAAATTTATAAAGAATATCATTTTGTCATCATTAAACGTGAAAAGTAAATAGATTTTGAAAGAAATAATGTAGAAAACTTGATTAATTGCTAAGGAAAAACCTATATTAACTATGAATTTTTTTTTATTATAATATTCAACTATAACATAATATAGAATTGACGTTACCAATTGACCTATACCAATACCAATTTAGTTTCATAAATAGTTTCATTTTTTGTGTTTTTCTTGTTTTGTATTTCCGTGAAACTTCTCTTTATGTCGTTGTAAAACGGAAGTAGTAAAAATGTTTGAGTATCGCTACGTTTTAAACTTAAAATATATATAACCGACAGTAAACATTTTTATGTTATATTCAGATTGGCTTTTTTATACTATTGTGTTGTAAATAATCAATAAATATTGCAATTAATGTAAATGTATATGTTTTAAAAACATTTTAAATGTCTTTATAATAAATATTAGAACTGATTTAAAAATATAAATATCTTTTATTAAAAAATATCAGAAAGACTTTCTTTGAAAAATTAAACATGAGTTCATTATTAAAGCTTTGTGGATAAGTAGTATCAAACGAATGAATATTTAAAAATTGCTTCATTGAACATTAAATTAATAAATATAAATAAAAGAAGCTTTTACGTTTATGCACGTAAAATAATCTTGCGACGATATGCAAGCAATTTTCTGTTTTTTTATACATATTATAATTAAAAATATAAAGTACTTTTGGTAAATTTGGCAAATAATAAGTACAAATATTTATGTGTAATTACTACTATATCAATAATCGATATTTTTGTAAGCCAACAAGTGATAACTTTGATAAAGTAAATTTCCTGGAAAATATATTCAAAAATAAGATATACCGATAGGGGTTGTAGTTTACAAACTTCCCTTGCAGAGGGCAGGTACAGACATAGCTGTCTCTTCTAATCGATTTGGATTGACTATATTCTTCGCAATAAAATATTTAAGAGATCAATAAACTATTTTAGGGATTGTCTACAAAGACTAACGTACATACATTCTTTAAAAGAAAATTTTTAAAAATAGAAATTTATTTAAAATTGAAAGTTTCTTGTTGCATTAACTTTCTTCTTCATCAGATTTACTGATACAAAATTGAAATGGTACTGAAAAAGTAATTTTATTTTTTTAGAACATAGATTTTTTTACTGAAACATTGTTATACATAGTTTTCATATCGACAAATTACTCAACTTTAAAAGTATTAGATAAAGCAGACTTTCAAGACACTTAAATAGCAAAACTTAACATTGTTAAAAGTTGATGTTATCAATAAATTCACGATCTGTCTTTCACGATTTTTTGTTTCTTCGTTTTGCATATGAAATATAAGCACGAATGAGTTACAGTAATAGCAAGTAACTACTTTTGTAGATGGTGTCTGTATGTGTGCGCACGCGCACGTACTGGCACTTCGGCTTTCATTCCGCTTTGTTACGTTCGTCGGTTCATTCCGAAGCTACGTAAAATTCGGGAGATCGACTGTAACGAAGACCCGACGGTATAATAATGATATTCGGGAAAGAATTATTATGGAACTTGGCAGCGCACTTTGGAGTAACGAGGGGAAAAAGGGGCTTTTCTCCATAAGCCAGCTCGTACATCATCGGCGCGAATCCCTTCGGACGGTTATAGAACGAAAGAGGCGGCGATAACAAAGGCGCCTACGTTGAACGATACTAGACGCTTTGTAAACAAACGAGTCTTCTAATATTAGACCCTATAATAAAATATATCTAGGTATCTATGACCTCACTTGCTATTTTATCGCAAGCCTATTATATATTTTAGCGATTATACCGACCGATATATTGGGCTGAAATTATTCTATATTTATAGTTGATGCGACTAATTCTGTACGAGTTATTTTTGTATGCTAGTCCGGTGCATTTAATCGTTTATTTTCATCGTTTCCTCAATAATATCATGCATTTTATTGATTACAAAACAGAATTATAATTTTTCCAATCTGTATGTTTCTTGTACCAATTTTATGAAAACGCTCGCTGCGTGTTTTTTCATATTTGCATGTAAAATTGATACCGTATCGGCGATGATTATAACAAATTTACCGGAAAAATTATGTGACTCACGTGTACTACTGGACAAGCGAAGCATAGATTTACAAGCGGATATGCAAAAATAGCGTTTTAATATACACATCTCTAAGTCTCTTTTATTAATTCTTTTAATAAAAAGTTAATTACGTTACCGTTTTACGAAGTACTTTACTAATAATACTAACAACGCTCTGTTTATTGTGTTACCGCAATAAACTAACTTTGCGTATAATAAAAATACCTAAATGATCTTTGAACAATTATGTAGAAAATGCGAAAGGTTATTGTTATAATTTTCTGTTGATTCTTACTCTCTATCGCAATGTATGTTATTGTAAGCAGTACCGTTTTATTCGGATTCGGATTGCCAGTAGTCTCGGCTATAGCTTAACG